TGGATACTGTACGCTATTATGTTTTTCAGTTTTTTGATTGCTAAGGAAGGAACAGCTGCTAAAGTACACTTGATTATAAATGCTGCTAAATTAATCCAACTTCTATCTTTTGAAAATGACTTGACTTCAAAATTTAAGTATAAGGATATGTTACTCGGAAAAGGAGTTTTTGCTTATGTTTCTACAGAAAATGAAAAGCTGAGAATTCCTTCCAGGCTTCTGTGGTTTCACGAACCAAGACCCCCGGAAGCAGTGGACCAGGTGTTTCAACGACTGAGACAGTTAAGATGATGGAGCTTTACAGACCCCGAAAATACGGACTTATACAGGTTTCTGAGTTTTGTCATGATCCCCATGGTATAAACAGCGCCCCCTTCCAGCAGGAAGCAGTTTGGAATGAGCGACGTCCCAATTCCCATCTTGTTTATAAATTTTTGTTTTCATTTAAATGGGATTGTTTATAATTGGCTAATGATCACAGCCAATTTTTTTAATGGTAAAAGGGGAATTATGGTATGGGTATTGCTTTTCATTTATTGATACAAATTCAAGGTCAATTTTGTGATGTTTATATTTCTCCTCTTGATTAAGCATTGTGCTTATACTGATCTTCTAAAATGTAATGCATAATTGAATACAGACTATAGATAGTTACTTATAATAGAATTTATAGTTAGGTAAGTTAGGTTTTCTAGATATACAGAAATATATTTGAGACAGATAGACAGTCTTCAAACCTCTGAAAGACCTTCAGAACATGGCATTTAAAATGGTCTAGGGTTTTTTTGACAATGAGAAATGTCTGCTCCTGGCAGCACCAATTATATCTGAGAGGAAGATGGGCATCGAAGAAACTTGTTATGAAGTTTGCTTTCAACATGGCAAGATTAGCCATTTGGGCAAGAAACTGCTCTTGCCTAGACTGTTTGACTGCTGTTGTATAAACTGGACATGCAGGACCCACAGGAAAGTGACTACTGAACTCAGTCTTACAGGGTTCCTGCTTCATGAAGAGTCTACGAGACTGTCTACAGGACAAAGAAAAATGACTGACAGACTACCAATGCAGATAGACAGTTTGAAATTTCCTGCTTTGCTGAGAAGTGTTCCAGACACATTGTGGCCTATGGGCTGAAGATGGATGCCCCAACGTTACAGAGGAACTTCGGGTGACTGTCCAGGCAGTAAGATGTCTCTGTCAATCCTAGTGTTTATATATTATCCTTCTGTGGTCTTTGATGGAGTTGAAGACAGATACTTATAATTATAGTTTTCCTTAGTTATGATAAAAGATAAGCTACATATAGGACTTTGGACTCACAAGGATGGGATATATATTTTCTTTAAATCTTGCTAAAATATTGTAACTATGTTCTTACTTGATAACTGTTCTGTTATATACAATTTGACTGTGTTAAAGTTAAGACCTTTCTTTTTGTTTAAACAGAAAAGAGGAGATGTTGGGGAAGTCTTATGCTAATAAAGCACTGTCTGGCCAATAGGAATCTAGATAGGTGGGGCTAGGAATCCAGGAGGATTCTGGGTAGGAGAAACACAGGAGAGTCAACATGTGACGCCATGGGAGTAGGACACCGGGAACTATTCTCCGGTAAGAAACATACTTAGATTAACAATTATGGGGTAATTACTTAAGGCAGAGCTAGCCAGTAAGAGACGAACAAGGCCAACAGCTTCATAATTAATATAGCCTCCTGTGTGTTTATTTGGGACTCATGCGGATCTAGAACCAGGCTGGCGCGGCAGAGCCCAGGCGACTGGCGGGGGATATACCAAATCGGCAAGCAAGGAAAAAGCTTCTCTTAACAGGTGTATAGGTGTGTGACTGTGTGTAGTTGTGTAGGTGTGTGTGTGACTGTATGTAGGTGTGTGTGTGACTGTGTGTGGGTGTATAGGTGTGTGACTGTGTGTGACTGTGTATAGGTGTGTGACTGTGTGTAGGTGTGTAGGTGTGTGGCTGTGTGTGACTGTTTGTAGGTGTGTAACTGTGTATAGGTGTGTGACTGTGTAGGTGTGTAGGTGTGTGACTGTGTGTGACTGTGTGTAGGTGTGTGACTGTGTGTGACTGTGTGTAGGTGTGTGACTGTGTGTGTGACTGTGACTGTGTGTAGGTGTGTGACTGTGTGTAGGTGTGTAGGTGTGTGACTATGTGTAGGTGTGTAGGTGTGTGACTGTGTGTAGGTGTGTGACTGTGTGTAGGTGTGTGACTGTGTGTAGGTGTGTGACTGTGTGTGTGACTGTGTGTAGGTGTGTGTGACTGTGTGTAGGTGTGTGACTGTGTGTAGGTGTGTGACTGTGTGTGTGACTGTGACTGTGTGTAGGTGTGTGACTGTGTGTAGGTGTGTAGGTGTGTGACTATGTGTAGGTGTGTAGGTGTGTGACTGTGTGTAGGTGTGTGACTGTGTGTAGGTGTGTGACTGTGTGTAGGTGTGTGACTGTGTGTGTGACTGTGTGTAGGTGTGTGTGACTGTGACTGTGTGTAGGTGTGTGACTGTGTGTAGGTGTGTAGGTGTGTGACTGTGTGTGTGACTGTGACTGTGTGTAGGTGTGTGCATGGGAGTTCAGAAGGCTACATAGTGTCAGATTCCCCAGGAGGTACAGTGACAAGTGGTTGTGAGGGGCCTGATGTGGGTGCTGACAGCTCAACTTGAGTCCTCGCAAAAGGTGCTCCTGACCACTGAGCCATCTCTCCAGCTCCCGTGTTTAAACGTTTACAGATGGAGAAACTGAAGCTTCCAACGTGTCAGAGGACTTGCTCATGCGGAGTCACCAGCTAGAGAAGGGCAGAGCTGGCCCTGGGCCTCTCTAGGGAGACCGTCTCATGCTTCCTATGGTTCTGGGTTTCACCCCTCAACAGAGAGCACATCCTTCACTGCTGGAGGAGAGGGGGTGGGGCCTGCGCCTACCGCCATCTCTATACTCGCTCAGGATCCCCATTAGCAAGCTCAGACCCATCTGGATGCACAAACCATGTGTGTCTCACACCCTAAGGCACTCGCTTGGGGAAGGGAAGACTGGTCACCTGCGGCCCGTGTACTGCCTGTGAACTGGTGGAGTAAATTCATGTAATGGTGACAGCACTGGGTGACGGTCCTGTCACTTCACCATCTCAGACACAGGAAAACAGACACTTGTGAGAAGTGAGAGCCTGGCTCTCAATGTGAGAAAACAGTTAGCACTGTGACTGCAAGATGGGATGGGCGGGGAATCCTCAGCCCAGCTCCAGCTCAATCAGGACGGGCAGTGGAGCCCGCACCCGAGTTCTGTGGGGAAATGGTGGAAGGCAGCTGGAAAGCGACTGCTCTTGGCTCCTGCCTCCTGCGTCACTGCCTGGCTGCTATGTGGATGACCTCAGGGAGGCGGCTGAACTTTGGACCCTCAGTCTGCTTCTGCTAAGATGGATCACCTGTATCACGGGCTTTTTTGCGGGCTCAGCAGCACAGTATCAGCAAGGCCTTCCCTGGCCACGCCTCCTAAAATTAATCTTCCTAGGCTACAACAGCAAATATCTGCAGTGTGAGAAGCTGGGCTCCCTAACTACCTGTTTTCCCATGCTGGGTGGAAGCCTGACCCTTCAGGGTGTGCCCTGGAGCACGGTCTCCTCACCTCTGCCTGTTTCTGGGCTGGTTGTGGGATCCAACCTGGCTGACTATAGCCATTTGTCTGTATTCCAAACCCTTTAAAATAAGGCAAGTCATCAAGATAGCCAGCTATGCTCATGGTGTCAGCCACTGATGTAGAGGCCTTTATTTTTTCACATTTACCTACTTAATGTGTGTGTGGGTGTGTGTGTGTCTCCATCTCTGCAGCCTATTGTAGAGGATATCTTAGGAGACACTCGTACCTTCTAGACTATTGAGACAGTGGTCCCCAAGGAATTAGTATTTCTCTCAGGGAAAGATTCCCTACAATTCTGACAGCCGTCAGACCACCTTGCAGGAGGGCTGGGGCTGACGGTGGTGAGGCAGGGATGGACAGGACCACCTCTTGACCAGGACTGTGGAAAGCCGAATCATGTCAGAGCTTGGGGTGTCCACTGGGCCTTTTTACTGGCTTCCCTTCCTACTGTGGCCACATTAAATAAATCTCCTTTCTTTGTTTTTCACTGTTGTGCATACTTTGTATGCCTTCTGAAGACAGCTGACCAAGCCAAGCTTGTTAGGGCTGCCAGAGTCCAGACTCTAGCAGGAAAGATCCAATAGCACTCTTACAACAATGTACTCCTGGACTAGGTGGTGGTGGCGGCGCATGCCTTTAATCCCAGCAGAGGCAGGGGGATCTCTGTGAGTTCAAGGCCAGCCTGGTCTACAGAACAAGTCCCAAGATAGGCTCCAAAGCTACAGAGAAACCCTGTCTTGAAAAACTACTATTACTACTACTAGTATGTGATTCAGACCCCTTTTGGGGGGCCACAGTTCAGCTGCCAACACCTCCCTGACAGTACAGTATAAACTGTCACTACCAGTGGGCTGGTGAGGTGGCTAAGTGGATAAAGGTGCTTGCCACCAGGCCTGGTTACCCGCATTTCACCCCAGATGGTGGAAGGGACGAACTGACTCCCGCAAGTTTCCTCTGACCACGTGTGTTCCGTGTCATGTGCTCCCTATCCATAAATAATAAATAGGTTTTGACCTGGCATGGTAGTGCACACCTTTATCCCAGCACTGGAGAGGCAGAACCGGGAGGATCTCTTGAGTTCTAGTTCATCCTGGTCTACAAAGCAAGTTCTAGGACAGCTGGTTAGATCCCATCTCAAAAAAACCAAATATATTAAATGTCAGTACTTTCCAAGGCCCTGCTCCTCTTCCCCTCACTGTTAACCCCTCAGCTATTATTTCTTCCTCATTGTTTCCCTCCTCCCCTGTAATATGGCGGCCACATTGTCAGGGTTCACAGTTAGTGGCCTCCCTCCTCTCAAAATTCCTACTCTTGACTTTTTGTGTAATAGTTGTGACTCTAGACTGTACCTATTTTTCTCCTAGGGAATTCAAATCAGCCTCCACCTACAAGCTCTGGGTACCCAGTACTCCAGAGACCATGGAGTTGAACATGCTCAAGGCGAAAGCATTGTCTCTGGCCCCCCTGTTCTCCTCAAGTGGCCCCCAACAGGCCAGCCGCCCGGCTTCCACAGCGTCCTCCACGAGAGGCCTGCACAGTAAGTCAGCCAGCACCCTGCCTGGTGAAGGGCTCAGAGGAAGGGTCTTGTGCTCCTGTATTTGGGCCCACAAACTGCCCGGACAAATGACAAAGACACGCTTTCCTTCCCCACAAGACCAGGGCTGCCCTGGGCAACCTGTCCTTTATTAACCTTCCTGTTTACTCGTTGCTCTTAGCTGGACAGCTAGTGTATAAGCTGGCCCAGTGACACCCTGAAGATCATATTCCATAGAAAAAGGTTCCCACATCTGGAGGCCGAGCTGCCTGTCTCCACTGCATGAGGTTGGTCTAGAACTCAGACCCACCTTCTGATGGGAGGCCCTGCTCAAGCCCAGCCTCTCTGTCTTCCTCCCCTCTTTCAGCCTCAGCCAGTCAACTGATCTCCACCCAGCTGGGCTTTCCTAACAAGAGTACAGAGTGAAGATGTCAAGCAGCAAAATGTCGCCAGCTGGGGTACAGCCCAGTCACTGCCCCTCCCTGGGCAGACCCTGCCCTTCTACCATGATGGCTAAGCCGTCATGGCCTCTCCCTATTCCCTCTGGAAACGGAGAAGCGGAGGTTCAGGTCAGGCTACTCCCTCCCAGGCCCCGAGGTAGTGCCAAGGGGCCATGGGAAACCTGGCCAGGCGGGAAGCAGTCAGGCCTCTCTGACCCTGCCCTGTCTCCAGACTGCACAGGGTTGGGGAGCGTCAGTTGAGATAATCACAATAATAACACCCGTAGCTGATGGCTGGCCACGCCCCACATCCAGTGGCATCGAATAGCCAGGCCTGGTGTACAATTCCCTGAGTGGTAGATTCCATATGTCCTGTAGACTCAGCAAACAGTGAGCTCTTGCCAGAGGCACACTGAGCAAACGGAGCAGGCACCGCTTCCTGTGAGGATAGACCAGGGCAGGAGGGAAAGTTCTCATTATTCTGTTTGCACAAGGGCAGATTGAAAGAAGGGATTGTGTGGGATAGAGGGGCTCTGTGTCGGGACCCTTGGCTCTGGCTCCTCTCCTCAGGCAGCCAGTCCCACAGGAAGTGAAGATGGCTTCCTCCCCACGCTGTCACCATCACGTGTCTGAGGACCCATCGGCTTCTGGTTCTCTACCAGCCAGCAGCTGCAGGCGCTGGGTATGAAGGGACACTTGTCTCCAACGTCCTGGGTGGCAGAGGATCCCAGGAATGCCGTCCCTTCAGGCTGCCCAGGAGCAAGACTGTGAGAGCTCCACTACCCAGGCATCATTTCCTCAGACTGAGCTGTGAGAAGAGGTTGGGAGAGGTCTTGACTGCCTTTCTGGTGATAGGAAGCTCCCTGGCCACCCTTTGCACCCACAAGAGAAAAGGGGGTAGCCTTTGACCCTTGTGGCCACAGAGAATGGCAAATTCTGCATTCAGCTTCCCTGGCCATCATAGAAGCTAAGCTAGACATGAAGCCACCCGTCAAGCCAGTGCCATCCACATTGAGAAGGATATGCCAGAGGAGTCTTTTCCCAGATGCTTGGCCAGGGGGGCTGGTGAAAGGTGACCCCTCACTTCTCACGAGAACCAACCACAAGCCAATAAGGAGGGTGGGGAGCCTCATTCGGTTACCAACCTATGGGTCATGACCTCTTCAGAGAGGGCTCAAATGACCCTTTCACAGGGGTGGAATATGAAACACCCTGCATATCAGATACTTGCAATACAACCCCTAACAATTCAGTTATGAAGTAGCAATGAAAAGAATTTTATGGTTGGAGGTCACCACAATATGAGGAACTGCATTAAAGGGTCTCAGGATTAGGTAGGTTGAGAACGGCTGCTCTAGACTCTGCCGAAAGAAACACTGTTGCAGGTGACGGGACAAAGGGGACAGAGGAAGATGTGGACACACTGCTCATGTACAAAGTTCTAAAAACAATAATTTAAAAATAAGAATATCCTATGGGCCCAGCTCATGAGGCAGCGCTCTCGCCAGCATGCGCAAAGCCCTTGGTTCCATCATTAGTATCACAGAAACCATATATGCTCACACTCCTCTGTCCGTCAGCACTCAGGAAGGGGAGGCATGGGGATGAGAAGTTCAAGGTCATCCTGTGCTACATACTGAGTTTGAAGCCAGCCTGGGCTGCAGGAGACCTGGTTTTTCTGTTTGTTTGTTTGTTTGTTTGTTTGGGGCTTTTTTTCTGGTTTTTCGAGACAGGGTTTCTCTGTGGCTTTGGAGGCTGTCCTGGAACTAGATCTTGTAGACCAGGCTGGTCTTGAACTCACAGAGATCCGCCTGCCTCTGCCTCCCAAGTGCTGGGATTAAAGGCATGCGCCACCACTGCCCGGCGGGACCTGGTTTTTAAAAGAATGTGTAGAGAGTAGACGCAGGCTTCCTAAGACAGTTGTTTGGGTTTCTGTTGTTGCTTTTAGATTGATTTATTTATTTTATTTTATGTGTCTTTGCCCGAATCTTTGTATGTGCACATGTATGTGCCTGGTGTCCACAGAGGCCAAAAGAAGTTCTCAGAAGCCCTCACACTGGAGTTGTAAGCAGTTGTGAGTCTCCGCCTAGGTGCTGGGAACAGAACCCAGGTCTTCTGCAAGAGCAACAAATACTCTTAACCACTGAGCCCTCTCTCTTGAGCCTCTTTATACAGATTTGAGGAACTTAGAAAGGTGACCAGCTTGCCCTGTCCCCCTCCCTCCCCCTAAGAGGACAGTAAACATAAAGACTCTGCCAGCAACATAGTTAGTTCCACTCCCTACTCCTCACCAAGGTAATGTCAGGCCCAAGTCCTAGAACAAAGGAAAGGAAACTGCCTAAGAGCTGCTGTCCTGAATGGTAACCAAGTTATAACACTGAATAAAATTAACCAGCGTTGACAGCCAGGTGTGGTGGTGCGCGCCTTTAGTCCCAGCACTCAGGAGGCAGAGACAGATGATCTCTGTTAGAGGTCAGCCTGGTCTACAGAGCAGGCACTAAGCCAGCCAAATCTACAAAGTGAAACCCTGTCTTAAACATAAATCAGTATCTAGGTGACAAAAATCACATGCCATTCCCCAGGCACTCCCAGCAATGTCCCCTGACTCCTCAAGCAGCAAGCAGAGGGATGGCCCTTCAACAGGTTAGCCTGTCGTGATGTGAGCTAGTCAAGGGCTGGCGTCCAGGGTGATCTTAGGAGTTCTTACTGGAGACGTTGGAAGTCTTCTGCAAGAACAAGTGCTCTTAACCACGGAGCCAAATCTCCATCCAGCTCCTCCATACACAGTTGTAAAGGACTTAGAAAGGTGGCCAGCTTGACCTGTCTCTCTGTCCTAGCTCTGCCTGTAGATGCCCAAGGTAAGGGTGCCTGAAGTGTGTACGGCCGTGTGGCAGAGGAAAGGACTCTGTGAGGAAACCGGGGGATGAACTGCAAAGGAGTCTCATGGAGACGGCACTCCACCCCACCAGCCAACACCCTCAAGATTCCACAGGTGCCAGTGCCTGGCACAGCCTTTCCCTGCCTGGCGTGGGAGCCGCAGACACCTGGGCCTGGCGGGATAGCCTTTCAGGCCCCCGGAATGAAGGCAACAGCAGTCTCTCCCTCAAGCCCGCCCCTGGGTGGCATTCAGGCTGCTCATCATCTGGCCGTCCGTCTGGGAGGGAGAAGAGGGGGGTTGTTTAGAGGGACGAGGGGACCCGGCAGGGGCTCAGCACACTGAGATCACCAAGCAAGGGAAAGTGAGCATTACCCAGGCCCCTTAGCATTCCTGCAAGGGCTGTTCCCAGCACACACTTGTATATTCCAAAACTGAAACTAGAAACAGACATGGTTTTTAATAGGTTTTCCCTGTGTAGCCCAGGCTGGCCTGAAACTTGCTATAGTACAGCTGTCTTCAAACTCCAGATCCACCCACCTCATACTTTTTAAAAGTATTGATAACTTGGGTCTAGATAGATGGCTCAGTGGTTAAGAGTGCATACTACTCTTGCAGAAGGCCTCAGGGCCAGCACCCATGAACCCACGACCTCCACAGACACACATTCATACACATAATTGAAAATAAAGTAGATCTTTTGGACAACCAAAATAATCAAGTAATCCCAGTGTCTGCTTCCTCCTTTGAGATTGGGTACATGCCCAATCTACAGGGGGAGAAAAATCAAATAAAGAAAAAGTGTTTGTTTTTCAAGACAGGGTTTCTCTGTGTAACAGCCCTAGCTGTCCTAGAACTCACTCTGTAGACCAGGCTGGCCTTGAACTCACAAAGATCTACCTGTCTCTGTCTCCAAAGTGCTGGGATCAAAGGCGTGTGCCACCACCGCACGGCTCAAATATTTTAATTTCATTTTATTTGTTATTGTGCAAATGTGTTGTCTGTAATCAAGTGTAGTTGCATCTAGCCTTGCAGTGAAAAGTTCAGTATCGGCCACACCCTTTGGGCGTGGTTTCAGGTGTGGAGATGACTGCTTGAAGGTAGAGAAGTGGGGAACAATCTCTCTTGGGTCGCAGATTGCATTGCAAGGGCAAAGACTGCATTTTCCGGAGCAGGAACACCTCGGCTGTTCTTTACTGTTATCTGTGTGAGTTGTTCCCCAATAAAACACCCATTTATCTTTTATCTTGGGTCTAGTGAACTCATTAATACCCCACCTTCAAGTGAGTGCAAGTTTCCCTGTTGCCATGGCACACCAGAGCTACACAGTGAGACCGTTTCCAAAAGAAAGTAATCTGTGAAGGTTTAGTAACATGACCCCTAAAAATATGTCTCTGTCTCTCTCTGTCTCTGTCTCTGTCTCTCCCTCCCTCTTTCCCTCCCTCCCTCTCTCCCTGCCTCCCTCTCGGTTTTTCTGAGACAGGGTTTCTCTTGTAGCCCTGGCTATCATGGAACTCACTCTGTAGACCAGGCTGACCTCAAACTTGGAGATCCACCTGCCTCTGCCACCCAAGTCCTAGGATTAAAAGTATCAGCCGGGCAGTGGTGACACACACCTTTAATTCTAGCACTCAGGAGGCAGAGGCATGCAGATCTCTGTGAGTTCAAGACCAGCCTGGTCTACAGAGTGAGTTCCAGGACAGCCTCCAAAGCCACAGAGAAACCGTCTTGAAAAACCAAAAAAAAAAGTGTCAGCCCTTTTTAAAAGTTTATTTCCAGCTCAAACCTTTAATAAATAAATAAAAACAAGTCTGACCCTGTACTTCCTGCTTTCCTAGCCCTAATCCTGGTCCTCGTTACAAAAAAACTTTATTTATAAAGTAAACACCTAGCACATGAGCAAGTTTCCTTATTTGTTTTTTAAATTCTGCATTAAAGTATTATTTCTCTTCATCTGTGATTTTTCAGGTTCTTCCTCAGATCTTGAGTGACCAGGAATGTCTCACTCCCCTTAATCCTGGCTTAGGATCTGGGGGTGTCCTCTGGGGCCTCCCAATGTGTCAGGCAGCATGTCCTGTGACTTGAGTGGCTACACCTATTTGCCTGGCCATTTTAATCTCACTCGATGCTCTTCATGGCAAATTGTATTAATTGTTTCACTTAGCCTTTGCATATAACAAACCATTTCCCAAATAACCATTACAAATACGCAGGTCAGCAACTGGGCTTGGGTCATCTTCAGGACTTAGCTGCACTGCTCAATTGTGCATCTGTGCACAGGAACCTCCCTCTTGTCTGACGATTCGCTGGCCGGGTCCTCGGTTCTTCTCCAGTGAGGATTTGTCTTCCAGCAAGGTGGCCGGGCTTGTTCACAGCAACCTTGAGGTTCCCACTGCCACAGAGGTCAAACCCAAGTACTTTTTAGGTCTCTCCTGGTGTTACAAGTGCTTTTCTCCCATGGACCAAAGCTGGTGGGTCACATGCCCGAAGCCTGGGTCAGAAGACGAGGTCACAGATGGGTACCGGCTGCTGACTAGCTGCCATCCAGGAAGCGCCCCGAATCTGCCCCGCTGTGACAGTGCCTCCCTGCTTCCGTTCAGTTGAGTAACTGTCTTCCGAGGCTATTGCAAAAGGACATAGACACACTACCCTATGCCCTCAAGTTGCTGCCCACCTTCTAGGAAAGCATTCCTAGCCTCCGCAAATGGCTACAGTCCCTGCCAAAGCCCCACTGCAGGGGGAAGCAATGAGCAGACTTGAGAAAAGTTGGGCCAAACAGTTCCTACCAAGTCCTCTCCCTGAGGTGTCCCGTGAGGCCTGGGAGAGCATGGGATCTGGAGAGCAGAGAAAGAAGCAAAGAGAACAGAATGTGAAAAAGAAGAGGCAGGCCAGGAGATAGTTCTATCCGAGAAGACTCATAAGCATGAGGATCTGAGTCCAATCCCAGAACCCATGTAGAAAATACCAGGAATAGGGGCAGCATGCCTGTAGTCCCAGCACCTGCCTGTCCTAATCGGCAGGTTCCAGACCAGGGAGAAACCTTGTGTCAAAAAACAAAACAAACAAACAAACAAACAAAAAAGATCCAGGTGGTGGTGTTTCACTCCTTTAATCCCAGGACTCAAGAGGCAGAAGCAAGTTGATCTCTGTGACTTCAAGGCTAGCCTAGTCTACGTAGTCAGTCCCAGGCCACCCAGGGCTACATAGTGAGTCCCTGTCTCAAACAAAATATCAAGATGTACAGAGGATAGTAAACAAACACCAGAAGTTATTACTAACCTATGTGTATACACACACACCACGTGCACATATACACATGAATGTGTGTACCTCCACACACAAAATCGGGCAGGTCCAGGGCTAAGAGTCAGCTTGGCACTTGCCATTTCCAGAGGACCTGAGTTCCATTCCCGCATCAGGAGGCTCACAGCAGCCTGTAGCTCCACCTCCAAGGGGTCTGATACTCTCTTCTGACCTCCACAGACACCATACTCATGTACACACACACACACACACACACACACACACACACAGTGATAATATTCTTTTTTTAAAAGAGAGTTTCCAGGGAGAGGGGGAGAGGGGCACAGAAGGCTGTCACCACAGTCAGAACTGGGGAGGAGATAGGAACCACTCTCTCTGAGAGCCACTTTCCTTAGAGAGTTGGCCAAAGGTCATTGGTATCAGAGCAGACCAGGGACGGCAACTGAGGAATGAGAATTTGAGCTCAGAGGTCCTGGGGCATGGTGGGGGTGGGGGCTGCAGTAAAGGCTGCAGATCCAGAACCCTGAGGACACCTAGGAGCACAGAGTCCAGCAGGACTGGAG